TTTTATTATTTTTTACTCATTATTTATTATTTTTAAAAATAATTTTTAAATTTTTTTTAATAAAAATTTAAATTTATCACTAATAAATAATTAAAAAAATAAAAATTTCAAAAAAGTTAAGCCAAATAGGTCTGAATCGTTTTAAGCAGCCACGTTTAATGTATACTATTAAATTATTATTAACAAATTGCAATTCAGCGGATTTGCTCGTCCTCACCGATTTGCTTTGGCTCATCCAATTTGGTTATTGTAAGTCTCCAATTTTTTTATAGGACGTTCAGTTATTAATTTATCGAAGGCAGTAAAACTTATAGCTATTTATAAGTGGAAGATAAGATGATGATTTAATTAATTAATTAAATTTGAATTTTTTTTATTTTTATATAAATTAATTATAAAAATATATATTTATTATATTTTTATTTTATACTTAAAAACACACATAATAGAAACTCATAAAAAAATAAAAATAAAAACAAAAAAGCGTGTGGAAAAGTTTGGATCTAGCACATCTTGATAGACAGACGGTGCAAATTCAGCCCCTCTACTTCATTTGTTGTTGCATGTCAGCACCTCTACTTAAAAACAGTGCAAATCAGCCCCCTTACTGCTTGAACTCAGCAAATCACCCCTTCTGTTATCCATGACGTCATCTTTCTGTCCCTCTCTTTGATGCCTATTAACAAAGAATGACGATGCCCGCTTAATTCAATTTTTAGTCTATTAATTATCACTTTGATTTTATTTTAGTTTAGAAATTATGTTTTATTTCTAAGTGGTTTATTAATTTTCAAATTCATTTCAATTTCGTCTACTTGGTAAAAGATAACGGAAAACTTCTTATTATTATGTTAGAGAACAATTAGTCCTTTAACTATATTTTTTTTTATCTTTTAGTCCTCAAATTTATATTTGTTATAAAAATAATTTTTATACTTGAAATTATTATTTTCAAACTCTGATACTAGATTTTTACACTTAAAATTATTATTTCTAAGTGGTCTATTAACTTTTGGACTCTGATACCAAATTAAAAAAATAGGAAAACCCGTATGACCGTATGAAAATCTGGTATTAGAGGCTATAAATAATAATTTTAAGTAAAAAAGCTATTTTTATAACAAATATAAATTTAAGGACTAAAAAATCAACAAAACATAGTCTGAGGATTAACTATTCTCTAACAAAAATATGAAGTTTTCCATTATCTTTGACCAAGTAGACCAAATTGAAATGAATCTGAAAGCTAATAGACCACTTAAAAATAAAATATAATTTTTAGATTAAAATGAAATCAAGATAATAGTTAATAGACTAAAAATTAAATTAAGCCCGATGATATGTACAAAAAAAACCAGCTGACTTGGAAAAAAAATCCCACCTGATGTTGGTTTTTTTTTTTTTTTTCAAAATTTAATCTATTTAAATATATAAAACCAAAAAAGAAAAAAAAGGGAAAACACAAAATTCAACCTTACCTCCAACATCTGTATCATCTCCGATCTTCTTCTTCCTTTCTTCTCCCTCATTTCCTTTCCACTTTTTTTTTTTTTTTCTTTTCAAATTCTTCAGCTTTCTTCATATATATTTTTTATTTAAAAAAAAAGAAAAACAGATCTGGAATCTTGAGTTTCCAGATCTGGTTAGGCGGCGCTCCATTAGGGGATTGGTGATCGTAACACCGCCATGGTCGTTGCGTGGGCGATACAACCACCACTTCGGCGATGGGCATAATTTGGATCTCTTCATTCTTCTATTTCTTCCCAATTTGTTTTACCGTCTAATTTTATTTGTGATGCTTTGAATCGATCTTGCTATTTCTGAATTCTACTTGATATTTGAGTGGTTCTGTCACCATTTCTCAATTTTCATTTTGATTTCTATTTCACCGGTGAGATCGTTTTAATATTTGGGTATTTTTGGGTAAAACATATTTGGGGTCTGCTTTGAATGATTTTGTGTATTAACAGAAGAAGGAAGAGAAATAACTTTTGTCGTCATTTGGTAGATATCCATATTCAAACATTGTTGGGCTGCTTTATCAGAATGAGTATTTAGCTTCCAAGCCTTTACATTTTGTTGTGATGATGATGTGGAATTTGAACATGCGTTCATTTGTCTATGATGATTGCTCTTGGTATTAATTAACTGTGATTGTTCTTGGTATGCAAATTTTGTTAAATCCTTGCTTTGTGTATTCAAAGCTTGGAAAGTGTTTGGATTTTATCTTTTGGGATGTGATTTCTTTCTGTTTGATTTCACTTATGTGAGAAAAAGTTTTGGTTGGTTCATGAATTTTAGTTCACCGGTGGGTTTTCATTGAACCTTGGACACAATCAAAATGAGATGTTTTTCTATGATTTTGTCTTGGTGTAGAATATATGATTATGGAAGTGGAGTGGGTTAAAATTTTGTTGCTTAATTTTTGTTTGAATACTGATAAAGTGAGA